GTTGACTAAGTCTAAAATTGCCCTGTTTCTTGAGGATGATAAAATAATATTTAAGGGTTAGAAAAGCATGTAAATATGTGGAAGAAAAATAATCCCCTGCTGCCAAAAGTTAAGAGTAAAAATGAAAGTGCTGAGACATCCATTGCCATAGTGCAATAGAAAGGACTGCTATGCTAGGACCACAAATAAAATTGGAAACCTGGATAATTAATTGCACTTGCAGTCAGTGCAACCTGGAGCTATTTGTCATTTCTGAAAAACACTCTGCATGTTTAGGCGTTTCCAGTGCTCAGTGGTACATCACAGCACCCACTGTGCACTTAGTGGTTTGACAAATTGTGAAGAAGATCACGTTGCTATACAGAAAGGCTGATCGCAAGCAGAAATTATTATACTTTTATTATACTTTTTGTAGGCACATTAAAGAGTCCTTCTTTAGTCCCAAGGGCATATTTAACAGTCTAATAGTCTTTTCATGACTGCCTGTTGAGGCCTTTTAATATGTGTCATTCACTGATGGCAGTTTTAAATGGCTTTGTTCTATCTCAAAAAATAGTATTGTTTTCATTGAAACATCTTTCCATCTTGATTGAAACATTTCCATCTTTCAGGTTTTCCTTTTGATCTTCTTGCATTCAGTGATGTTCCTGAGAGCTATCCTGATGTTTCCCAAAATGGAAATATATTTCAATCCCTGTGAGAAATCTTGAATATCAGTTCGTCAGTGTGAAAATAAGTTCATAAGACTCCTGTAGCATTAGCTGTGTAGTACTGAGGCTAATGATTTTTCTCCTCAATAAGCCCAAGAAAACAGAGTTTTTAAATCTTTTTATAGGTATAGAGATAAGGCACAGATTGCCTGATTGTCCAAAGGGATGCAAAAAGTTCGCAGCAGAGCTGAGAAGAGAACTTTTATCTATGGAACACATAAAAGATTCATTATTCCATAATAACATCTTGCCTTGTCTAGGCTAATCTTTAACAAATAAGAGCACATATGGATTTTTTGCAAGTAGCTGATTTTTTCCGCTATTAAAAATCAAGTCAAGCTTATGGTATTTAGTAAGACAAGGCCTGAAATCCAATTTTACTGGAAAAAATAATGAGTTTCTCCAAGAAATTTTCTGTCTGCTTCTCAACCACAAAATAATGGGAGCTGGTTTAGAAATCAGAAAATAGAAAAGAAAGAATTTTAGCAAAAAGGATGATGGAGGCTTGTACTGTGTAAGGGAATATTAGCTATATTTGCAGGTGGAATTTTCCTTAAAATGAGTCAGTGGTATTTCCATCAAATTTAAGAGCAGTTACCATGAGATAGACAATACTTTGCAACTGTGAAAATCATAATATACTGACAACAGAAGGTGATTTTACACCCTACTGAAAATTTAAATCAGCCTTTCTAGATGTTGAAACATGGCTGTTCACTTTTAATGAAGGGAACAAACTAGTTATTACTATTCTAATGCTTAGAAGTTGGGTTATTTGGAGGGTGCTCAGGAAAGCTCAGTTTTAAAGTAAGTGAAAAGATGTCTTCCATGTGTACTGTGAAGTCAGGGACAGTCAGGGTTGGCATCTGGGATAATGGAAAGAATAATGGAGAACTGAGGACAAGGAACACCTGCCTGTCAATATTATTATCTTTCCAACATAGCTGGCCAGAGGCATCAAACAGCTGTTGGAACTTCAAAGATGTCTTTGACTGCCAGGTAGCATCAGACTAACGGAAATAAGGCACCACAAGGAGCCAGGCTGAGCAATCATTCTGTTGTAACACAACAGCCAAGGACCTGTGGTCATCATCAGGGAGCAGCAGGCACAGGGCTGTTCCCTCACGGCAGGCAAGCTGGGACCTGAGGTCAGACTGTGCTGGGATGCAGAGCCTGAATGCAGCAGGCAGAGCTGGCCCCAGACATGGCAAAGTAATGAACCAGGTCCAGTGCCCAACCAGAGAGCCCAGTCAGGAGGTGGGACCAGAGACAGGACTGGTGACAAGGCTCCAAGATGGTTCCAAGGTGGCTCCAAGCCCACCTAGGAACCAGGGCCAAAATTAGGGCTGCAGACCAGCTACAGTATGAGCTGAATGTAAGGCTGTGCCTTCAGCAGTTCTCAGGTGGGGACTGAGTCATGGGTGGAGGCCCCAGGTGAGGCCGGTCAAGGTCATTCAAGGCCCATTGATGCTCTGACAGTTGCTATGGGCAGGTTGTCCTGGTGGATTCAAGAATACAAAAGAATGATAAAAAGCTGTATTCTAGGTTGTAGGTTGTACCTGGTAGCTGCAGTTTAAGGACAGCAGTGAAAAGAAACCAACACAACTGAGTAATAGTACAGCACCATGGGGATCTCAGGCCTAGATCTAGAAAGGGTCCTGGTCGTAGTTGGAAGTATTTCGAGTTAGAAGAGAGAAAGATACTAGAGTAACATGAAGACTGACAAAGCATCCCTTGCCAAAGTGAAGGCAACAGCAGGGCTGAAGGATACTGTTCTCCCACCAACAGCTAAAATTTCCAATAAGTGACTGTTGTGAAGACCAGCATGCTTCAAGAACTAAGAGGATTCCTTGTTTGACATTGGACAAATCTCTTGAGCCTCCTATCCTTCAGCTTTTCACATGTGAAAGAAAAAAAAAAGAGGCATAACACTTTCTATTCTGCCATCTAAAACTGTAAGATAAAAGCCACGTGTTTTGAAATTTTAAGAAAAAAAGTTTCCATCAAGTTTTCTTTTATGATACACTTATTAAAGTCAAAAGATACATCACTAAATAATAAGTTCCTGAAATTCTATGGAACAGTATGGCTTAACCAAATAAAGCAGATGAAAATTGATGTAGCAGCATGGAGATTGAGTATTTATTAGTTTGTGTTTCTCATCTCTACCTTTCAACTTTTACATTCTTAAATTGTATCTGCATGCTTTGTGAAACACTGACAGATTTCATCAGTACCACTTTGCTTTCCATTTTGTTTCATTTTTTATATTTCTATTCTTCTGAAGACATGTAAAATGAGATTACTTGTATGCTCTGAGTTACTTCACAACAGACTATTTTTCTGGAAGAGATTAAAAAGAACTTTCTCTCCTTATGTAAGTGAAATGTTGGCCCCAGAAAGAGAAGTTTAAATGGGACATTAGCAGTGTGTGAGTTTAAGATGGATCTTTCCCTTAAGCTCAGTTTTTGTTTGCCCAAGAGTGTCCTGAATCAACACATTATTGTGGTTAACACTTCACTGTTAAGAGTAATTCCTTATATTAGGAATTCTACTAAGTGCAGCACCAAGTGTTGACATAAACATCATCATAGTCATTGATTTATTAATGGCTTCATCTGAAATTTATGTACTGTGTTACCTCTGTGCTGCCACTTACTGAAGTGCCAAACCAAGGTCATAAAAGCTCGTGCTACTAGAAATTATATCATTAGATATTTGGTTATTTTTCCTTAATTTAATTTTAAATTCTATTCTGCATGAATATGCTTGTTGGTAGACATGTTATGAGGAATACAAAATTATGATGAGAATACTTAATCTGCATTTTTTTTTGCTTTTGAGGTGGAGATTATAAATATACTTGGCAGACTTTGTTAAGCATCAGGTTCAGAGAATAAAAGGAGAAGAAATAGGAACTGAATTTTCCTATAGGAATAGGAAAAATGCAAATTTAGGCATTTTAAAATGAGAAATATGGAGCTATGTTATGATCAGGTGCAAAATAACTTTAGTGACAAAAGAGAGTCTACAACTGCTGCTGCCAAAACTGATGTTTTCTCATACCTGTGATTTGCATTGTGTGAAAGTTTTAAAGCTGCAATTAGAGATCTTTATTGTTCTTGGCAAACTTAGACACAAAGTTTTAATCACAATGGAATTTCTATGAGTAGAATTTTGAACTTTTATGAAATTTTATTGTTTGAGCTTGGTATTTTAACACATGGATACATTTAGTAGCTTCATGTTGCAAAGTGACAGGATTTTTTTCCTCCATCTCTGAAAGCTCTTTCTCATTTCATATGTGTATGCTTAAAGTTATTGCATTTTTTTTTCTGATCTTTTACCGTAAGTGAAACTTTCTATTTTGTTTAGCTTTGTTGAGTAGCCTGACTGTTAACTGTGGCTTTTGAAAAAAAACCAAGCAAACCAACAACCAGGTTCTGTACTGAATATTTGCTTTTCTACTTGACATCTTTACTTTGTATCCCCATGTAATTTTCACTTGATATCTTTCCACATCTTTATGCTTTACAGGGATTTTTCTCAGCCAATGTTTTTTAAAACAAAGGCTTGGAGTTTGGTCTCTATTGCATGGACTAAGGTGTAAACAAATTGATATTGATCTGCATCTCTATATTTTAAGTGCCTTGAAGGACTTGAGTGGAAAGGTGTTACGAGTTCCCTCCCTCTGACCATAATGGACCTGCAAGGTATCTCCAGTGGGATACCTAAACCTGTAGAGGTTTTTTTTTTGTCTCTTTAGATATCTCAATTCCCCATATATCGAATAGCAATGATGACTGTTTACTAGTGTTCAGGGAGTTATGAGAATATTTGAGGAATCATTCCCCTCTAGAAAGGTCTCTGTGCTATGACACTGTTCAGTCTCAACCTGGTAGTCTTTTGCCTGAACACCTAGACTGGGAAGATCCATCTATTGTAACTTTAGGTATATTTAATCCGATGCATCTATTTAAATGAAAAAAAAAAAAGAAAAAAGAAAAAAAGAACTTGTTTAGTCCCATCCCAAGGTCGATTTTTAACAATCTGTACAGCTGCTTTTTTGAGGTAGATTGAACCTCACTGATTAACTCAACCTAGATACCTGTTTTTGAAATAACAAAAGTTAGATGAAAATGCAAGTTTGCACTTGCTTTAATTTGATTAATTTGGGGTTTGTTGCTTAAGTATATCAGTTAAGACTCATTGTTCTGTTTTTCATTTCTGCTTATTTCTTCTTACTCTGAAAAGTTTAACATGCATTGTTTCTTTTCTTCTCTTTTCCAGCACTGTGTGGAGGAGAGGAGAGTTTCTTGTGTGCCAGTGGGATCTGCATCGCAGGGAAACTGCAGTGTAATGGCTACAATGACTGTGATGATTGGAGTGATGAGGTCCATTGCAGTAAGTTTCTTAAACCTCGCAGTGTTCAGTTGAAGCACCAAATCCATTCAGGGAAACCTCAAAACTAAAGGTGGCCGTTGGTACAGAATAGGAGCTTTGCATACTATTTGCGTATATTGACGTTTGGACTCTCAGTTGCCACTGTATGTGTTTACTTTTGCTCACTTTGACCACAGCATGTGTTCTTGATCTATCAAATTTTATGCCTGGAAGCAGGTTCTAAGATTTCTGCAAGGAACGATGTGGAAATTAGAAGTATTTTGCAGCATTTTTTTTTTAATAGGTCAATAACATGCATCAGAAGAGCACTTCTGATAATAAACTGAAGACTGTTAGTTGTATCTTTTTCCTAGTCCTTAGCACTGATTTCACAGCAGATGCAAAACTATCTTTTTAGCAAGTTCTCTTGGCCTCAACCCTGGATGTGGCTTATTTAAATAAATCCCAGTATATGGTGCAGTAGAAAAGAAATATGAATATGCTTACTTAATATCTTAATTTCTTATTTATTTCTCTGTGATAGCATGTATCTTTAGAGCTCCTATGTGTTTTTCTTTGTTGACAAAAACATCCTTGGACTAGTAACACCTTTAGAAAAGCTGAGCACGTGTACAGCAAGAAAACAATGAAAAGGGAAAAAAAGAAGGAAAAAAAGAAAATGTGGAACAATGACTATATAGGGACTGTGGTAGGACATGATGCCACAAAACAGTGCTGTACATTCAGAGTTTGGAAAATGTCAGACGTGTTTTTTTTTTTTCCAGACTGTGCAGTTTAGACTCATCTCAAAAGATTTGTTCCTATTAGTGATTTAAGAGTCTGGGCATTCCAAGACTCACAAATCTGCTTTTAAGGAAGTTGCGGATAGATTTTATCTGGGATACTCCAAAGAATAAATGATGGTGGCGATTTCCTCCTGGTCTCAATATGAATGAGGCTAGAGATTGCTTTTCCTTTAATAGCCTACAGTTTATTTAATGGAGGTTGATATAATTTCTGTTATGTAAAAAGCATTGTATGTTTTTATCTTTGAATTTTTCCTGTCAGTGTTAATTTCAGTTTTTAAGATAAGCTAAAAAATTTTAAAATACCTATGAGACTATGGCTCTCAAGTTCCAATAGAAATGGGAAAAGAAGTAATTAGTAATATAAGAATAAAAATATTACGTCATTCATCCAATGAATGCTTCCAGGGATGGGCAATCTACCACTTCTCTGGACAACCTGTACCAGTGTTTCACCACCCTCATCATAGAAAATTTCTTCCTTATATCTAGTCTGAACCTACCTTCTTTTAATTTAAAACTATTACCCCTTGCCCTGTTGCTACAGGCCCTACTAAAAAGTCTGTTGCCGTCTTTCTTGTAAACCCCTTTGAAGTACTGAAAGGCTGCTCCTTCTCCAGGCTGAACAATCCCAACTCTCTCAACCTTTCCTCATAGGAGAGGTGTTCCATCCCTCTGATCTATTTTGTGGCCCTCCTTTGGACCTGCTCTAGCAGGTCCATGTCTTTCTTGTACTGAGGACTCCAGAGCTGAATGCAGTATTCCAGGTGGGGTCTCACGAGATCAGAGTAGAGGGGCAGAATCACCTCCATCGACCTGCTGGCCACGCTGCTTTTGATGCAGCCCAGGATATGGTTGGCTTTCTGGGCTGCAAGTGCACGTTGCTGGCTCATGTCCAGCTTTTCATCCACCAGTGCCTCTAAGTCCTTCTCCACAGGGCTGCTCTCAATCTCTTCATCCCCAGCCTGTACTGATACCAGGGTTTGCCCTGACCCATATGCAAGACCTTGCACTTGGCCTTGTTGAACCTCATGAGCTTCACACGGACACACTTCTCAAGCTTGTCCAGGTCGCACTGGATGGCATCCTGTCCCTCAGGCATGTCAACGCCACCATTGAGCTTGGTGTCGCCTGCAAACTTCATGAAGGTGCACTTGATCCTGCCGTCTATGTCACTGATGAAGATATTAAACAGTACTGGTCCCAATATGAACCCCTGAGGGCCTCCTTAGTTTTAATGTCGAAAATTACATACATGATGAAATGTAGAATTCGCTGGTTTTAAAATATTTCATATTAACAGATCTTCCAAGAATCTTCTTTCAGGATTCTGCATCAAGAAATTGATCACATGATGCAATCGCTTTTCTATTCCTGGCTCTTGACATGCATTTCTTTCTTCATCCCTTTGATGTGCCATAATAAGTATGCAGGCAATAGTTAGGCTTTAACAGAATCTGTTCCTCTTTTTGAAAGTAAAGTTTAATTTACTTAACAATATCACCTTTTTACACTGCTGCAGCCAAAAACTGATATTTAGGATTTCATCATGTTGCTTATACCATTTACTCTGTGCAAAGGAAGGTACCAGCTGAAGAATCAGGATTCAGCTCAGCCAACTATCACATGGGAACATGAACAGGAAAGAAGCTGTAACGCTGATCTATGAATGCATAAATTACCGGTGCCAAAACTTGGAACTGTCAGAAGGATCCTGATGAGCAAGTGATGTACCAAATGCAACAAGCTCTCTTACATCTCGCTTGTTGCACTTACACACAGAATTCCTTAATACGTACACTCGCTTCCTCTTTCTCCTTGTGACTTTCTCAGCCATACTTCTCTTTCACAAAGGGTGAACAAGATTAATACCATTTGAGTAATAAAATACAAAACAAAATATCCACATGTGCCACCGCATACCACACTCCAGAATAGAGCATCTTGCTCAATTTACTCGTAGAAGGGGCTGAATTTGTACATTGAGTCTGCACATACATATTTAAACATGCATCTTTAAAATGTAGGACTCCTAAAATCACCTCTGAGTGTTGGGCTGAGGTGATTCATGGTCAGAAGGACACATGATGCAATAGTGAAGTGGTGAAAACAGGATGTGCATGAAGAGATCAAAAGGTTGTTGAATGCGAAAGATTGACGAGGCTTTATTTGTGTTTAGTGGAGTATGGAATAGGAATTTGTATTTAATTTTCTGAAAACTGGGCTTGTTCCATCATTAACAATATGAAAGTTGAACCTTTTACAAACAGCAGTTGCAAAGTGCCCATCTTATTCTGATGGAAGTAACTAGCTACGCTACATTGTATATTATTGCCAGTATCTTGAAGAAAATGTATGTTAAGACTGTTAGATTTTCATTAAGTGAATCTTATTTCCTTGCAAGCAAATTTGTATTCTTTTTGTTTATCTTGTCTGTGTGGGCCTGAGAACTGCCAAACCCTAAAGAACACCGCTGCAGCTACAGAGGTATGAATGTAAACAGGGATGGGGGTATGAATGGAAATTAGACAGTAAACTTACCAAGAGGAAGCAACACAGAAAAAACCAGCTTTGTTTCATTTGCATGAGGAGCAGTGGAAGCATAGAAGCTGCCAGTTACAAACTGATCAATAAGGATAAAGGTTGCCAGAGTACTTCACGCTGTTGCATGCTCAAAACAAGTAACATTTAGAATTTTACTCTCAGCTGGCTATTGTTCTGCTTACATGAAGCTAGAACTTCAATATTTTCATTTAGTTTGCAGTTTTTGGTATGTACTGTTTCTTGCCTTTTGTTCTTTTAAAGCTAAATTAACTATTGACTACAAAGCTCATGGCTCAGCCATATTTTACTTTATGTCCTGAAGCGTTGTCCTTCATGTTGTGCTATAAATTCTGTTTGGACTTTCTAAGATGGTGTGAAACTTGTCGAAAGAATACTTTTGTGGGGAAGGGGAAGAAGTGATTCATGTTCAAGTTCTAGAGTTGAGGTTGGTAGAGCCTTGAGAAACTTAAAGTTAGAGCACTCGCCTAGGAGGTGGAGCACTTGGCTGACATTGATCTGAAGGGATGGAAACCCCACTACACCTTCTGGGAGATTTCTGCACCTTTCGGTGTGTAATATACTTAGAAGGACACACTTCTTTCAAAGTGGGACCACTGTGCAGTCACAAACACAGGAGTCACATGCCAAGAGGAGAGAAGCAAGCGGTAGCATGAGTCTGTTGTTTAGTGGTTGAGCATCTCAGCTGAGGGGGGAGACTTGTGTTCCAGACCCTGCTCTTGGAGCTCTTTCTGTATGCTGTCCAGGAAAAAGCTCATTTAAAATGCCAACATATACCATTAAGAAAGGGCTCAAAGAACTTAGTTCCTGTGGCATAGCTTCAATAGGAAAGAGGGGTTGTTCACCTGGCGGTTCTAGATCCTGGCATTCTCCCTGAAAAAGGCAAATGTGAAGAAAAAGCCTAGAGGAAGGCAGTGATACTAGGTCACCCACTTCCCAACTGTGTGTTCTTACTCAAAAGTTATTATTAATGGGACCAGACAACACCAACCCTATTTTCTCTTTTCCTCCCTTTCCTCACCACAACATAGATTCCATGTTTTTATTGAACTTGATATTCAAACATTTTGGATATTCTCAGAATATTTATCAGGGCTTTACTGGAGGCTTCAGCTGTGGAGAGAATGGCTAATCTCACTTAGGGCTGACAATGCTAAGAATTCCTTGATGAGACGGCATCAGGCCAAATTCTCAGCTCAGAACTGCATAAAGCGTAAAGCTCATTTGAAACTGTTGTAAGATGGGAGGCAGGCTCAAAAACAGGGTCTGGGATCTTGATTTTGCTGTTAGAAGCTTCAGCTCCTCGTAATAGCCACATCAGGTGCTCAAGACTGTCCTAGTAGTCTAGCCGATGAAACCCGCAACCTTTGTTGAGAACTTTATGTGTATAAATTAATTAAAGATTTTGGTCCATATGTGTAACCAGAACACTTTCTCCTCATGTTATTGATCAGAAAAGCAATTGGTAGGAACAGAATGAAAATGTCTAAAAATTGCTTCTGATTTTTCTTGTTCTTCCGTATTAGATTCTAATAAACTGGTACACAGTATTAATGCAGAGCTGCGAATTGTGGGGATCTTTAGCTGATCTTGCTTTAGTGAATGCATTCCAGTGTTCGTAGTTTATATAAATGATCCAATGTCATGTTAACGTTTTACAAAATTTTGTTTTGTAGACTGCAGTGATGATGTATTTCGTTGCAACACAGGAAAATGCTTAAATTATACCTTTGTTTGTGATGGATATGATGACTGTGGAGACCTTAGTGATGAACAAAACTGTGGTAAATGAAAGTTTTATGCTTTTTTGAAGTCTTTAAGATAGCAATATTGCCTAAGCCAGCAATCTTTTTCCATAAACTACTAATAGAGTAATATACCCTGCTGTTATTCTTTTTGGGCAAAGTAAAAACAGCTCACAAATTCTATGTGCAATTTGAAAAGGTTTAAAGGACAGTTCTGAGTTAATCCGCACAAATTCTATGTGCAATTTGAAAAGGTTTAGACAGTTCTGAGTTAATCCATATTGTGAAGGTAGTGATATTTTGAAGAAATACTCTGATTTGTGATTTGTTTTAAACTAATTCAAGATGTTGTGGTTACTTTCTTACCAACTTGGCTGAATTTCTGACATTTGTTTTATGTTTCTTCTCCAAATTAATCATACTTTAAGATCTTTCAGTACTTTGGGCAACCTGATGTAGTGGAGGGTTTCCCGGCCCATGGCAGGGGGGTTGGAAGTAGATGATCTTTGAGGTCCCTTCCAATCCTAACCATTCTGTGATTCTATGATTATTTGTCAGTTTTCGTTATTCTGTGGTTTTTTTCATAAACCATCTTTGATTAAAGACTTTTCTAAACATGAATCTGACTCCTAACATTCCTATCTTGAGACAGCTTTTTCTATATAAAATTTAAGTTCAAACTTTTTGTACAAGCTATAAATGGGTCTCATAGCAGATTTGTCGGACTGTACTATGTCTGTGCTCCCTATTTATTTTGCTGTAAAGTTGGCCTGCTCAACAGAATGCTTTCCTTTATTTGTGGAAGCATTCAAGTAGAAAGAGTATGATGAAGATTGGAATAGTTTCTTTGCAGATAATTATTACAGAAAATTCTGACCGTTTGCAAAAACCATAGTTTGTGATTAAACACCAAATATGGTGGTTGAGAAACATTTTTTACCTCTTAGTAAAAAGATAAATGTAGGGAATTATTTTCTCTGACAGCAACTAAAAATGTTGGCTTACTGAAAATCATTGCATGAAATGGAAAGCCAGATCTTTTAATCTACTTAACAAATCTTAGAAACTCGTTTATTTGCAAATGGAAACAACTGTGCACCTGAGAGAAGGAATGAATGCATCACTGTCTATATAGGCAATAAAATTCAGAACATATGTAACTGCCTTCTGCAAAAAAATCTGCAGGGACAGAAAATCTTATTGTAATTTACTAATGCAAAATAGCTCATTAGTGACAATGATTAGCTTATAGACGTAAAATAATAGATGAACAGTATAAATTATACAAATGGTAACTTATCATCCCTTTTTTTGTCCTCAAATTTGCATTTTATTTAGATTGTAATCCAGTGACACATCATCAGTGTGGAGATGGGAGATGTATAACAGCTGATTGGGTATGTGATGGTGACCATGACTGTATAGACAAATCAGATGAAATCAATTGCTGTAAGTTCCCTTAATCTCTAAATTAGTTTTTTCTTTCTTAAAAAATAAAAACCAAAATGTAAGAGAAGTAGTATACTTGTTACTTATAAGGGAAAATTATAATCTTAATTGATTTCAGAAGTTCGCACTTGACAAGTAGACAGCTGCAGCAAATTAAACATTTGTTGCCATTGTTGAGAAGTACTCGCATTTCCTTGTGTTTCAGCTTCTTGTTAATTATGGAATTAGCTTTTTGTTCATTGTAATGCTCCCATTAAAGTGCAATGAATGATTGTAAATAACCTCTTAAGCTGTAGGTGCTCTGGGTTTGTGACAGCTTTCTGATGTCTGTATGTGACCTATCACACCTTGTCAGTTTGGGCTTGTGTCTGCTCCAGTGATGATGATGTGTATCTGCAAAACAACTGTACTAGAATATTGCTGAGGTTGCAAAATCAAGCGATGCTGTTTTGATTCTTGCTGCCATTCAGTGCTTGACCTTGCAACCACTATCCTACAGTTTTCCCTGAAATCTAAGAACCTAATCTGGATAAAGGAATGTAAATAAGTGGGGAAAAAAAAGGTGAGTTTTTATATGAGTAAAAATGATAGCGTTGTTTTCTTGGAAAAGCTGAACCTTCATCTCAGCCTGTTGCTAGTACCTGACCTACATAGTTCCAGTCCCTGTAGTTAAAGATCAGCACAGCTGCAGGCTGTTGAAAACATAACCTGTAATAAATAAATAATAATGAAAAACCTGTAGTGACCTTCAGTGCTAAGCAGTGTTATCAGCTCCTCCTAAAATAACTTCAGGATGATGTTCAAAAATAATTAAGACCTAAGTTGATCAGAATAATTGTGTTGTGTTTTTTGTTTTTTTTTTTTTCTCTCTAGCCTGCCATAGTCAGGGTCTGGTGGAATGCAGAAATGGGCAGTGTATTCCTAGTGCGTTCCAGTGTGATGGAGATAATGACTGTAAAGATGGAAGTGATGAAGAAAACTGCACTGAAAGTAAGGATATCCCTCATTTTACTGTTCTTACTGAACCTACCATTGGCTGCTTTTTTCTGAACTGCCTTTAGCTAAAGCTATCTGACAAACTAATTTTCTTTATCTTTCAAATAGCACTTGCTAAGGCTGGTTGGTGTCTGCTTTTACACAGGAAGTTCTAAGCAGAGTTTTGTTAGTCCTTAAAAATATAAGAAAACAAAGAAATGGAGGTGGTATTTAGCATAGTGTTTGGTTATCTGACGTGATCAGCTATTACTTGAAATAAATTAATATATGTTCACATGGTCTGCAGCAATTAAAAGCTATTATTATAGGAATTGGTGTCCTTTGAGGAGGAATTTTCTCAAGAAAATCCTCTGTTTATCAGAACTTGGAGTCAGAGAAAGCTTGTTTTCATAAATAAACTAATGATTTAGTGTGACTAAGGGAAAATGCATGAAAATGTAAGTTTTCACAGCTACTTAATAGCTGTCTCACAGTAGATTCTAAGAAGGAAAAGGAAACCAGGCAGTTTCTTGAGCCTTGGAACATGATTTCCCAAAGATTTGTGTCCTCTGGTACATTTTCATACTCTAGAAAGAGGTATTGTCACATTGTGATGGTTTCGGTGTTTGAAGGTATTCTTCATATATAATTCTCTTGTTTCTGGTAAGGTATAGATTGAGATTGAAGCCTTTCCTTCAATGTGAGAATTATTGTCTCTCTCTTATGAATCTTATTTTTAAGAAATTAAAGGAATTCACTTTACTTGGAAAACTCCAGTGCTGTCAGATGTAGTGGTAATAGGACAACCTTTTCAGAAGTTGTTAGAGTAGAATAGATCTGTTATCAAAAGATAAATACACAGTGTGATTATATAGGCCTCATTTCTTTAGGAAACCATTCTAGAAGAAATCCTTTCATAAGCATGTCTACTCAGTCCCTTCTGTTCATGTTAAGTTCTCAGGATCTTCCTACTCTAAACATCTCCATTCCAAAAAGTAACTGAGAAGTCAAAACACAGGAATTACCATTATTCTTCTTTGCAATAAACGTTGATGTTGCAAAAAAGTCTTGCATGAAATTTCAAGTTCTGATTGTGGCAACCTGGAAACTGAAGACCAAGTTTTGTCCTTAGTTCAGAGTGTGTGATCTCACAAAATGCTTAGCTTTTATTATTCATGTATCCTGAAGTCCAATCTCAGTCTGATTCTGTGAATTCCATGATCCTTCATTTCTCTTGCTGATAATGAAACTATTGTTTTTAATGTGAAAGAGATGAGATAGGAGAATAGGATAAATTGAAAAATACAAAACTATTTAGAGCATCCTATAAGCAGCTATGTCAACTTTTAAAATTCACCCAACTTAAACCTCTTAAATTTATTTATCACTAGTAAAAGAATTTCACTGAAAACATTGATGCATGATCTGGGCTAGAAGTCAGTGATGTGTTTTCTCTTCACTGCTTTTTGCCTCTGTGGATGTTGAAGAAAGGTTTAAAAATCTTTTTTTGATAAGATGAACAGATATAGATTCAAGGATACTAAATGCAGAGGAGTAGGATGGGGTGATAGTTATGTAGTCAATGATCTCACTATATGGTAAAAGATTTTTCCGCTAGGATTAAACTGCAAAGCTTTTAAATACAAAAGTTTTCTTTGTTTTTAATATTCATTCTTCAATGTGCAAAAACTAATATTTTGCAATATTGTGTAGTGCAAAATTCTTCCTTTATCCAACCATATCCTTTCCGTTGTGAATTTGCATGAGAATATGTAGGCAGACTTTGGACTTCATTTGGATTATTCCTCTTTAGTTCCTTGCAAAGTCCATGTAAAAAGCAAGGCCGAATTCTTGTTTGTAACTTTCTTTTTTATTTCTTATATGTATGTTGTTGATTTCAGTAACTACAGAAAATGCAATAGGATGTACGCTTAATACAAAGACTTTTCTGCTCTACGGATCAAACAATTTGGAGGTGCCTAGCAAAGGCAGTGAAGTTAGGGCTGAAGTAATCAGGAATATTGGGTTTGTTACAAACACAAGTAAATATGTGAAATCAGCATAGAAATTTGAGGTCAAGATGTAGTGACTTGCCACTTGCCTATATAAGGATGCAAGGACTTTGTGTAATAGTACAAATATATATATATATATATAAAAATTTAAAATGACCATTGCTTCATCTATATCTGAATGAGAAAAATGGTCACCTTCACTACATACAATAAGGATATTTAAGGTATGGCATCTGGTAACATTACTGCTGTCATTCATTTTGTGACAATGGGCATCTAATATAGATGTACTCACAGCTAGTTCTGTGATCCCTTCAGAAGACATTTTAGAGCGTGTTTATAGAAATTCAGCATTGACTGTGCTAGGATCAAAAGTATATACATTGTAGCACAGGGATTTTTCAAGAGTTGAGAAACTCTTCCACTGTGGGAGAAGTTGGGGCAAACTTTAAAAGTGAGTTTTAATGTAAAGATTTGTGTTTTAGAGGGCGAAAGGTTTTCCCTACCTTTCAAATTCTGTTTTGTAATCAGGTGCAGCTGTAAAATAAGACAGTCAATTGCTACAGCAAAATAAAATACCTCCATTGCTTCAATGTGTAACATGTATGAAGGCAAGTAAATCCACATAATTATGAATAGATATGATTACATCATCAGTTCTTTGGGACAAGGTTGTTGTCAAGGTCATTGAAAAAAGATGTTTCTTCAGTATCTTCTGTATGCCAAATATAAGGATGCCATAGCTGAATGATTAATGTTTGTGGACAGTAGTGCAATACAAATGCTAAGCAATAGTTGCAATAAACCATTTTAAACAGGATGAGATGATAAAATCCAAAATGTTCAGTCTCTATGTACAGAATAGTAATTTAAATAACTGATTTTACAAAAGTCATGTGGAAGAGAGAATTGAATGGTTTGGAAAGGAGCTATCACCACTGAGAGAAATCCAAGGATTTGTTAGACAAACTAACTACCCAGGTAATGTGCTCAGAAACTTCTTGATGGAGTGCTGGTTTTGGTTATTCTGAATTCCATCTTTAGGATCGTAGCCTTTTGGGGGTTTGTTGTTATTGTTTGTTTTTTAACCAGCCAAAGAAGGACAATAAAGTCTCAGCTCTGATGACCTTTCTTCAGGATGGTTTTTATTGTCCACCAAATCTTCCATAAAATAAGAAGCAGATCAACTGAATGGCACTGAAGAATAACTCCCAGAGGGTGTTCTCTTTCAGCTAGGACTTATTGTTTGTTTTGCAATCTGATTTACATGACTTTTCGTACTCTGCCAGAGGATTGTGGTAAATTGCTTTCAGAGATCCATACCTCTCATTAAGAAATGGGTGTATAAAATCTTGTATTAAACGTAGGGGTAAAGAAAAGTGACATCTGGACAGCTCTGCACAGTTTTCTTCTTTACAATGATTCCTACTGCACTTGAAATGCTGTAGGGTACTTACACAACTACATAAAGAAAATACTTAATTGTTATGTAAACTCTATTTTCTCATCACTACACTCCAGTCATCTTTGTTACTCTGGTAAATAATTAGAATAGTAAATTTCTATTTTCATCAGGTCAAACCCTCTGTCAGGAGGGAGACCAGAGATGTACTTCCTGTCCTGATCCCTGTGGAACTTCTCTCTGTGAGATGAGAAACAGCCAGCCAAACTGCAGTAAGTAGGTCACATGCTTCATACTGTCACTGTTTAATGATGTTTTAGAGTATAATGAGCATGCAGGGTAGGACACAGTAAGTCATACTTTCATTTGCTATCTAAAGCATATGTTTAATGATTAAGTATTGAAAAGGGCAAAGTTGAAAATCGTAACTCTCAATTATTGATGTACTGACATTGAGATATTTACCCTTCTGTAAATTTTCAATACATTCTTAATGGGTGTTGACAGTTGCACTTTTTCTTAATGTTTAATGACATTCAGTGTTTACATAAAGTAAACAACATAGTGTAAGTTTAAAGCAGAAGCTACTGGTTTATTTTCAAAATGTAAGAAAGCATGATACTGTGTTTAGTAGCCTGGCGAACTTTTAGACCTTTTATGAAGGAATAATTCTGATATTCAACCTGGCAGAACTAGTTATTTTGTAGATCAGAACATACTGTAGAGGTTCAGGATCTTCAACACTGTGTTTCTGCATTTCTGTGTCCTGTGCTATACCGCTTCATGCAAGCCTCCTGTACCCTCTGTACACTTGCTTCTGAGTAGCTCTCTTTCTTACTTGTGCAATGCAGCACTGTGAACAGATTCTCAAAAGAAGTGTATTTGACTAGATTTAGAAACTGAGGCAGAACTGTATTCAGAATTATTCAAAATTAATTAGAACTTGGTGGTGCATTAATATAGTCACATCGATTCAGGTCACCTCGGCACATGGGCAGGCTTGCCTTCACTTACATTTGAATGTGTAGACATACTCTATAATTGCTTTGTGCTGAGCAGTTATCTCTGCAAGGTGTGATTTGGTACTATATGGTAGCTTGTTTGGAAAATGTTATTCCATTTAGATTGGAATGGATATGGGGAGGTCAGCTAGGTCCAAACTCCACAGTCTCTCTAAAGTTGTGACTATCACCCACAAGCTTCGACAGGCACTATTCATGTTGAAGCCTTTAGAGAAGGTAAAGGTAAAGGTACAAGATATTTGAAGCTAAGGTAAAGATACAAGATATTTGGGCACATATGCTTTACATGTGCTGCTATCTATGCTTCTCCTAACTCTTTGAAAAAGGACAATCTTAGGTACAATGTTTAGCAGTAGAAGGAAGTTAGTTCATGCCTTTGGGCAACTAGTCCAAACTCCTGATCAATGCAGTGCTAATTAAGTCATGTGGCCCATGACCTTGTGCATCTGAGTTTTGAGTATCTCCAAGGACAGAGGTTCCACAGTCTTTCTGGGAGACCTGTTCCAGTGTTAGGCCACTGACATGGTAAAAACCTTTTTTCCGTATATGTAACTGGAATTCTGTGTGTTACTATTTGTGTCTTTATTCCTCTGTGTCTTGCAATTCATGGTCAGATATTGTCTCCCTTGAGAGATTGTCCCCCTGCTGGTGAAAAGGAAGCAATATATCTTGGGGTATGTACACTAATCAAGGAGAAATCAAGCATGAGATATCACAACAGATCAAATTACTTTGGTTGTTGAACACATCTGCAGTACCTGCTGAAATCCCTTGGAACTTGTAGGTACCTGGCATCTCCAAAGAAAACAATTCTTCAAGTAATCTTTCCTTGTGTTTGGTGAGAAGGTCATATTTTCCTGATGTTTTAAGGTCAGAATACATGAGTGTTCATTGAGATATAATTACTGACTTGAATAACTCCACTCTAGCTAGTCACAAATTTAAATATATGATAAGATTGATTCTCTGTGGGCTGAAGGCTCGTGGGAGTGAAGGATGTTTAGTCCCAGATCTCTCTGTCCGCAGGAGAAGCGGCAGCCTTAGCGGCCTATGCCTCTAAGAACAAGTGTTGCTTCTCAGTTTTTCCATTTGAAGGTTCAGCTTTTTTATTTAAGCATTACTGACTTTGCCAAAAAGTTGCAGTTCACCCAGGAACGGAGGCTTACATATTTCTATCTGCTGTTTCAAAGCTTCTTTACTCGTCATGTTTCCAAACCTTTACATGCATTAGTCTAAACCCTTTTTTATATGTTTAAAACTGCAGCAACTTTACATTTACTCAGGTCAGAAAGACAGCATTTTTTAATTTCATTTATTTTTAAATACTTGTACCTTAAACTGCATAGTAAAGAACATACAAGATGTATCTGATATATTGTGACAAGATAGCAGTGGACTCAGGGCTGATGGCTCTGTAGTCACCAGTTGTGTATAAGACAGGTCCTCTATTTGGCTGGCAAACAAGGCACCACCAGCAGCCTTACCCAACAAGTAGGAAAATACATAAGTTCCCACAGTAGCCTCTGGTTCTCATATACTCAGGGAGCAGTTCTCTCTTAAGCAAATTACCTTTCATAAACAGCGACTATAGTCTTGTAAAAGACAACCATCTTTCAAGCAGTGTGACTGCAATTCCATCTTTCTCACAGTAAGAGAGAGCTGAAAGTGTACTCTCTTTCTTGGACTCATCTTCCTTGTGGATAAATCGGTACGAGATTTACTGTGGTCCAAAGCAGTTTGTCCTGTGGTCCCAAATATTTTCCTGATCAATGCAGATTTTTGTATCCCATTTTATGTATGGTCAGGAATTTTGGAAAACATTTGAGTGGCTAGGACTGTCACAAGACAGTGAAAAACATTTTTGACAGGTAATATTTGAGTTCTAAAACAATGTTCCCATTCCATGTCATGAGAAACCCAAGGACTTTTTAGTGAAGATGTTTTCTCAGCGTGTTATGGGCAACAGTCTGTGATTCTCAACAGGAGTAACATGTAATCTGAGTTAGACTTCTGGATCATCTCTCTCCCTTTCTGGTCCAGTGAATATTTAATTGTTTATACACAATGAAGCAGCAAGAGAATTTGGGAGAGATTTTTCTTGCATAACATCTGGAAGTACTACTGTCTTTTTTCATGTTATTTTCACTGTTCATATTTTGACCAGTTATTTCATCTTTGGTAAGAGACGAGAATTCACGTGGAAAACTTCAGTTTTCACAAAGCAATATTTTCTGGCCCAAATAACACTCTGGTTGGAAGATTCCAAAGCATAGGTCACGTTTCACAATATTGGATGTGGTGGATCTTCTCCACCTGTGATAATGTCTGATCATGCCATGGCGTTATAATGCAGTTACAACATATTTAGAATAACAACCAATACCTGAAGGGATAGTGTAAAGAATACTGAGCCAGGCTATTTCGATGTTCAGTGACAGGACCAGAGGCAGTGGGCACGAACTGAAACGCAGGAAGTTCCTTCTGAACATAAGAAAACACCTTGCTTACTGCAAGGGTGGCTGAACACAGGTTGCCCAGAGAGGTTGTGGAGTCTCCATCCTTGGAGACAGTCAAAAGGTATCTGGGCATGGTTCTGCACAACCCGCTTTAGGTGGCTCTGCTTAAGCAGGAAGATTGGACCAGGTAACCTCCAGAGGTCCCTTCCAACCTCAGCCATTCTGTGATTCTGTGAAATATCCCCTTCACTTCTGTTACTATGTTTGGAACTAATTCCTATATAGTAGGTAGAGCAAGTTAATATAAATACATGAAGATGTTAAACCTAGACATAATCTGTTTAGTTTTTTTTTTTTTTTTTTGATTTAGGATAAAAAGTACAATGAATTTTGTTTCTTATTCCCCACTTAGTACTTACATATACTATAAACAAGGGAGCAGCAAGATCTCTTAAAGTGTAGCACAGACATCAGAAGAAAAGATTAACATTTGAGTTACTTAAATTCAGTCAGATGTCCCCCTGGAGTGTATGTTCTGTTTGTTACTCTGCTTGTGGACTGTAGGAAATTGGGTGCAAGAGTCAAAGTTATTATTTTCAAACCTACAGGGGCATTTCAGAGGGCTAGGTTTTCTTCTAGAATTCACCTAAACCCCTATAAACACGAGACATAGCAAAAGAGAGAATCGTATATGTGTATTTGTACCCTTTAGTCTTGAATAATGTTATGTTATACAAACACTTAGAACATTGCATGTACTTTTGTGTTCATTTACTTGAGTTTCATCATGAAATACTGATGAACATGTAATATTCTGTACGCATCAAGAAAATATGCTTACTAGGGAAAAACCAAAAGATAAAACCAAACAGATCTGGGCATCTGGGGCTAAAGTATGGGAGGACAAGGGAGAGTTCATCATGAAGAAAAAGAAATGGCAGTAACGTGAGGAGGATTGTTGAAGTCTTTGAACCTTATGTACACCAAAGCTGGACTGAGTGATTTGAGACAACAGAAGTATTTCAGTGTTGGCTGTATGCAAGGATTTAACAGAGAGGAAAAGCTGTATGAGCTTCATGATCCTTAGATTAGAGGTAAATACTAAAAAAGGTTATAACAGGGAGTGCCAGTCCAAGAAAGACTGGCCAGTTCTGCTGATCAGCTGAATATTTGACTGTTGGATCTTCTTTCAACTTCATCTCAAAGATCCAGCTATAGGATCACACAGTTGCCACACTCTGCTGGCAACTGACGGTAGCAGCTGGCTGGCGGAGAATGTTAAAGATACGTTTGCTTCTAGAATAGGCAAATATATGCAGTTTGTTGATAACAAATGACTTTTGAGTAGTACACTTTTTCATGGAAAATTTTCTCATATTTCAAAAGTAAATAAATAAATAATTTCGCATTGGTCTCTGTGCTAAATAAAAAGCTGAATTTCAGTCGGAATTTAAGTGAAATTCTGTTTGTTGTTTTCTGTTGTGGTGGAAAACTGAAAAATAAATATTTCTGACTACCAATTTGGGAAGAAATACAAATGCTGTACAATTTTTTAAATTCAAAATATTAGGTCAGTTCAATATGTGTTGTAATAAACCCCCTAAAAGCTGGATTATTTTTGTATATAACTACAGTCTGCACAATCATATGGACTTGTAGCTGTTGCATTTATTTTGCTCTTGTTTATCAATCTCTTTATTATCAATTATTTTTTGTCTGAATTAAATTGTTCGCTTGTAGACTGTCTCTCACTCAGTGTTTGTGGACTACATAAGTTATCTCCATTCTTCCTTCAGATCTGAGAATGAAAAAAAAAAACAAAATAAAATTAAATTTAAAAAATAATCCTGCCTTCTGTTTTCTACTCAGAGAAATTGCACAGTCTCTGTCAGAGATTTTTAAGACCTGACTGAATGAAGTCTTGAGAAACCTGATCAGTCCTCAGAGCTGACCAAGCTTTGAACAGGGTGTTAGACTAGGGTTCTCCTGAGATCCTTTCCAACCCAAAGTATCCTTTGATCTCAGTCGTCTTAATTTTGACAATTGCCCTGCCAGTATGTGTTATGGTAGCATAGCACACCAGTAGGAAGTGTGTTACTGTACAGTGCAGGAGCTCTTGAAAATCATCAGAAACTTGATTTGAAAAGAATAAATCTGGTTTTAATGAATGGTTTATTGTACCATGTTAAAGTTAAGATGTTACTCAGGAAGTTAATGCATATTGGTAAGGATATATGAGTCTGAATAGGTTGTTAGGTAGGCACAGGTCAAACCCACCTTTCTTTACTGGTATGAATAGGCTCATAGAGAGTCTTGAGCTCTGAAACTTGTAGTTTCTCAAGCCTTAGAGGAAATCCCCTGACTGATAAACTTGTTAAATGCTTCTGTAATTATTTCTTCTGTATTTCATTTAATCTCACGCTGTTTGTGTTTCTGTTTTTGCTTTCTTTCTGTGAAAGGTCAATGTGAACCAATTACTCTGGAACTCTGTATGAACTTGCCTTACAACTATACTTATTACCCAAACTACCTGGGCCACAGGACGCAGAAGGAAGCCTCTATCAGCTGGGAGTCTTCTCTTTTCCCAGCCTTGGTTCAGACCAACTGCTACAAGTACCTTATGTTTTTTGCCTGTACAATCTTAGTACCAAAATGCGACCCCTATACAAATCAGCGGATCCCACCTTGCAGGTACTATACTAAACTTCATTTAATTCTTGACTGGCATTGTCTATGATATTACTCTATTAGTCTTTCCCAATTTTCTATTTCCATTGAAAATGCCAGAAATTTTGCTTTGGAATTCCATAGCAAAAGACGGAGAACCATATTTTATAAGATCATTAAATGTAGTTTATTACACGTGTGTGATTAGTATCTGAAGTATTGAAAACAAGGAGAAGAATAGCAGTTTAATAATTTTCAATATGTATATATTGAATGGAATAGACCATTTCAGTTGGAAGAGACCTACAACGATCATCTAGTCCACCTACCTGACCAATTCAGGGCTGACCAAAAGTTAAAGCCTATTATTAAAGGCATTGTCCAAATGCCTTTTAAACACTGACAGGCTTGGGGCATCGACCACCTCTCTAGGAAGCCTGTTCCAGTGTTTGACCACCCACTCTGTAAAGAAATGCTTCCTAATGTCCAGTCTAAACCTCCCCTGGTGCAGGTCTGAACCTTTCCCATGTATCCTGTCACTGAATACCAGGGAGCAGAAATCAGCACCTCCCTCTCCGCTTCCCCTCCTCAGGAACCTGTAGAGAGCAATGAGGTTTCCCCTCAGCTTCCTTTTCTCCAAACTATATAAGCCCAAAGGCCTTAGCTGCTCCTCACAGGACATTCCTTGCAGTCCTTTCACCAGCTTTTTTTTGCCCTCCTCTGCACACATGCAAGTAACTTCACATCCCTCATAAATTGTGAGGCCCAGAACTGCACGCAGTACTCAACTTGAGGCTGCATCAATGCTGAATGCTGTAGGATAATCTCTTCTTTTGGCTGGCTGGTTTTGCTGTTTGATACACCCCAGGATGTGGTTTGTCCTCTTGGCTGCCAGGGCACACTGCTGACTCATATTGAGCCTGCTGTTGACCAGCACCCCCAGATCCCTTTCTGCAGGACTGCTCTCCAGCCACCCCTTTCCCAGTTTATACTTGTGCCTGGCATTACTCCATCCTAGGTGCAGGATCTGGCATTTGGGACTTGTTAAATTTCATCCCATTAATCATAGCCCAAAGCTCCAATTTATCTAGATCCCTCTGCAAGGCCACTTGTCCCTCAAGAGAGTCAACAGCACCTGTCAGTTTGGGATCATCGGCAAACTGGCTGATGGTGCATTCAAGTCCTGCATCCAGGCCATTGGCAAGTATGTTGAACAGAACGCCCTAGAATTGAACTCTGAGGAACACTGCTGGTGACCGGTTACTAGCCAGATGTAGCTCCATTCACTGCAACCCTTGGAGCTCTGACCTTCAGCCAGTGCTTCACCCAGCACACCATGGACTCACTCATCCCACACTTTGACAACTTGTCCAGAAGGATACTGTGAGCTTTGTATGAAGTGTTTTCTGTTTCTGTGTGTTTCATTAGAATTGTACCATTATAAAGGCTATTTAAACCTAGCATCAGTTCATTTGGAACATCAGCATTTGTGATAGCTCTTCGCATTTCTGTATCACTTTATCTATGCAAAGCCCTATCCAAATACTATTAACAAAAACTGAGCTTTTAATGCATGCTTACCTTTCTAAATTAAAGGAATGCCACATCATTCTGAATTATATACTAACTTAACCTTTCTGCTTGCCAGATTAACTTTTCTACCATCCTCATCCATTAACATGACTGTACTTTTCAGAGTCATGCCTGTGTCTGTTCTAAGGAGACTGTGTTATGTAAATCTTACAGCTTTGGTAGCAGCGGTTGTTGCAGGTTAGGAAAGCAAATAAAGCTGATAAGCAGGCAGAGATCTTTGAGCTACTGGCTGCTAGAGTCTTCTCATACTGTATTTCTGTCTCTTTTATTGCACCTACCCTGACAGCATTGATCAATTAACATCTACTGTATGGAAAGGAAAGTGCATTGAAAATTGCAATACATGTCCTAAGATTTCCTACCTCGTGACGTTGTTGACATGTAACATTTTTTTGTCTAGTGATGTGCTTCTTAGTGCAAGTTAAGAGTGAGTCACAGGGAAATTCACTAAGATATTGCTTAATTCTCACCTAGGAACCTAACAAGAAAGTTAGAATATTGCATATGGGATAGCTAAAAAGTTAGAGAGTGGTTTGTGCAAGCTCTGTTTCAGGCTTGCTTGTTTGAAAATCAAGTTGGGTTTTTTTCTTTTTTTTTTTTAAGAAAGCAGTATGATACATAAAAATTGGGCTGACTTATTCTAATGTAGAGGAAGAAAAGTGAAATTATAGGCTCTTTGCTTCAGCAACTACATACCTAGCTAACAGATTTTAGGAAGTATCACAATACAGTTCAATAATCTTCAGATTTAAGGTATTAAACAGACAAAGAGGAACTCACAGAAACCATAGAATAATTTAGTTTGAAGGAGACCTCGAAGTAATTTATTCCAATTTCCTGCTCAGAGCACGGCAACATCACATTTAGATCAGATTGAATATACCACATAAAGTTTTAAATCCTAGGATTCAAAGCTCTACTTTATAACTGTTTTCAGGTTTCACTCTTATGTTCCATCATAAGTAGAGAGTGATTTTGTTAGGAAAGAATACCTGGGAGGGCCCCACTGAGATCTGTAGTATTTGCATTACAATAATGTTTTAGGAAGAATGTCAGACACAGATATAATGGAAAATGTAAAAATGTTTTAGAAATGAAAACACATATAGCCTTATACCAATAAACTCTTGAATTAAGTGATAAATGTAGGGCAGAAAAAAATAAAATACATTTGATATATCAATATAAATATAAATGTACTTAACTACAGTTTGAAGCTCCTAGAAGATGGAATGTTATAATCTGAGCACAGAAACTATGTTCTGAGAATCTGCTGCTGCCTTTGGAAAATAACTGCCCTCTTGTTCAAAAATATCGGTGGTTAGTTGAGCTTAACAAGACATATGTATTGTTTTACCTGTCTTTTTCTGTAAATATGAAATGGAGTTCAGCTAATGCAGTTTTTCAGTGTTAAGCTTTTCAAGCCAAAGTGCACTTTCCAACCATGAATTGCAAATTCATGTTATAATTCTGCATCTATTAAAAAATATACTTATCAGAAATGTATTAGATTTTTTTAATACTGGCGCCCTGATCTATTCTTTTCATTGTAGGTGGTATAACGAAACGGTTTTAATGCTACTCTCTCTGCATACTCTCTCTACTCTCATCTATTCCTACTTTGCAAGGCTTTACTTTGTGTTATTAGTTTGACTACTTGACTACTGTCATGCTTTATTTTTTAACTATAATGGTCTCCATGAAGTTTTGTTCAAAGTAAGGAACAGAGGTGAGGAGGTTTTTTTGAAAGAACTGAACTTGCTGTTATTGAGGCCATTCAGTGATCTATCAGGTATGCTTTCAAATTCTGAACAATATTCTTCATCTCTGGTAAGGCATTGGTGATATTAGTCCAGGTCTGGTGAAATAATATTTGAAGCTAAGTGTGTGCTGGGTTCCCACTGAGGGAAAGTGGAGTTTCATAGAGGAAGCACATATGGAATAAGCTCAGAAATTCCTATTTCCTTATAATTACAAGCTATCTTTGCTATGAATTGATTCTGCAAGGTGCTGAGCAGCTTGTGGAGATTCTGGGTCTCACTATCTGTGTATTTAAGTAGTCTCCAGCTGACTTTGGTGTTGTTTCAAAACTGTGACTATTCTTCTTACTATGAAGAATAATCCTGGTCATATCTCATGCCTCTTATGCGTTGGCATCAATTTACACATCCTATTACTGTATTGGAATTGAGAGATTAAAGAGATATTTTAGTTAACTGCTAAATATGCTTAATGTTCTTAAAAAAACGCTATATTGAATTCCATTGTAGAAAAATCACACGTTTCTATACTACATCCTTTTTTTTATGTTGTATTTCTTTCTTCTACCAAGAAGGGGAAGATTTCTCTGCTTTGTCATGTGTGCTCTTGTTAACTGTTAACTTGTTAGATTATTTCATAGACAGTACCACAAATGAGATTTGACTGAGAAGTAAATTAAGAAGTGTGTTACGAAGGTATTCTGATACCCCAACTGTGAGACTCGGTATGGGAATGTCGGAATGATTAAAAACAAAAAAGGTACCAATTGCTCTTCCAGTTTTCCTAACAGTATTGCCATAGGCTTCCATATGCACTGTGATGGGCACTACAGGGTGTCATGAGGTTATGCAGGGAGAAAATTAGGACGGCCAAAGCCCAACTAGAACTTAGTCTGACTACTGCCCATCTGAATATGAGCCAGCAGAGTGCCCAGGTGGCCAAGAAGACCAATAGAATCCTGGCTTATATCAGAAATAGTGTGGCCAGCAGGACTAGGGAAGTGACTGTGCCCCTGTACTTGGCACTGGTGAGGCCACACCTCGAATAGTGTGTTCAGTTTTGGGGCCCTCACTACAAGGAAGACATTGAGGTGCTAGAGCGTGTCCAAAGAAGGGCTACGAAGCTGGTGAAGGGTCTGGAGCACAAGTGTTATGAGAAGCAGCTGAGGGAACTGGGATTGTTTAGCCTGGAGAAAAGGAGGCTGAGGGGAGACCTTATCGCTCTACAGCTACCTGAAAGGAGGTTGTAGCAAAGTGGATGTTGGACACTTTTCCCACGTAACAAGTGATAGGACAAGAGGAAATGGCCTCAAATTTCACCAGGGGAGATTTAGATTGGCCGTTAGGAAAAATTTCTTCACTGAAAGAGTTGTCAGGCATTGGAACAGGATGCCCAGGGAAGTGGTGAAGTCACCATCCCTGGAGGTATTTAGAATGCCTATAGAGGGAGTACTTAGGGACATGGTTTAGTGGGGGACTTGGCAGTGTTATGTTAATGGTTGGACTTGATGATCTTCAGGGTCTCTTCCAACCTCAACAATTCTATGATTCTAAGATTAATAATATATGGTTTTCTCAAAAGAGCATAAAATAATTGATCCTGAATAGATCTGTTTGCTTGGTTTTGGTCACTACATTTCTTGAAGCTTATTGCAGGGAAAAAAAATGGTCTATTGGCCAAAAGATCAAAGGAAAATGAGTAGAATAAAATGTCTTCTACGAAAGGAGTGCCTATTCCTAGAAAAAAGATCTGGAAAAATTGATCAAATTAAATAAAAGACAAGGTAAAAGTGACATGAAAGAAATGGAAAAAATAGAAATGAAGAAGATCCTACTGTTGAATATTTTTCAACCTGTAAGAACAAACAATAATTTTATTTGAAATGGTAGGAAATGGGTTTAGAAAATATGATCTAAAAGGTGCAATTAAATAAGTTGCTGAGTCTAGAAACAAGTGAAGTCCTGGGGAGACATCATGGCCTTCAAATAGGTATTAGTGAGCTTCTGTGAGAAAATAAATAAATCGTTCATCATGATCACTAAGCTTACACTAGGAAGCAATGGATTTAAAGTACATCAGGAGAGCTATAGGTCATATATAAGGAAAATAATAGACATCTGTGATAAGAAAGTGGTATCAAATCTTGCTAACTGAAGAGTTTTTAAGAACAGCTTAGACAAATACCTGTTAAGCATGATGTATGTTTCTGTTTGGGGGAAGATATGAAAAGGATGTTGAGGTTCCTAATCCCATACTGCCTAATTAATATTCCAGAAAAAAAAGAGAGACAGTTGAAACAAACAAGGATTCAAAATACCACAGATAAAAGACGAGGCTATTGTATTGAACAGCACGTCAGCTATGATTCCAGGCAAAAGTAGTTACTAAATGTTTAAAATAATGCTTAAAATAATAGGGGATTTTTCTGTTATGCATTTTCTCTTTGTACTTTTGGCATTCAGTATTGTGAGAGACAGGATATTAATTTAGATGAACTGAACTAATTTTGTGTGGTGAGTCCTGATTTTCTGTGGTTAAAAAAAAAAAAAAAAAGCAGGAGGGCTATATTCATGCCTTTTTCAGGGTGATACCAGCTTCTGTTGCTCTGTCAACACACCTAATTTTCCCCAAACTTTTAATTTTATTGAATTCCATGGGGAGTTATTTGCTCTTTTGTTTGCAGGTTTAAATATTTTGTCGTTCTGAAACCACATGATTTCTGAGGTAGCATCATCAGAAGACGTAGCGTTTCACTGGTACAAAATGTATTTGTCTTTTTTTCCCTGAGGAAGGGAAGTTAGTGCTTCTTAAAAATGCTCCTCTGCTTATAGAGGAGAGGATGTTTGTAAGTAGCTATATTTGGATATTATGTTATAACTCAGGTAATAGTCTGCATACAGTAATGTAAAATAATGTTTCAACAGTAGCAATATGTCTTTTAATGTATTTTCATTTAAAGAAATCTGATTAACTGATTTTTCCTTGGTACTCATCTTTACTTTAGCTAGGATTATTAACTTCCAATAACTGGGAATTTCTAAGACTTTCACTTAGTTACTTTGTGCAATTTCACTTTGTCTCCTCAGGACATTATGTATACAGTCTAAGGAACGCTGTGAGTCTGTGCTTGGGATTGTAGGTTTGCAGTGGCCGGAAGATACTGACTGCACTCAGTTTCCAGATGAGAACTCGGACAACCAAACTTGTCTAACACCAGATGAAGATGTAGAAGGTAACTCCTATGAATAGGTATAACAGGAAATTAAAGATTTAATTAGATTCCCAAAATCACTGTGTTTTTTTTTTTTTTTTTTTTTCTTCCCATATCTCCTCTTTAAACTATAGTATTTAGGCTGTGGAAGTGTTTCCAGACTGGGTTTCAGGGAATTTGAATACCTACAGTTTGCAGATAAGAGGAAGTTCTTGGAAGAAATCTATTCCAAGGAAGAATCAATTACCCTCAGTCTATAAAAATCAGTGTTTGAGATTTGTTGCTGACATCACACCTACTGCTTTCTTGTGTTTATACTTGACTTTTTTACCTATTTAGATGATATAATAATGCTTTTCTAGCCAGGAGTCAGACCCTTGGCAATCTTAAAAAAGCTGAGCCCCACAACAGCTCTGAGAAAAATATTGTAATGTTAGTGTCTTTGCCAGCTATTGTTTGCTTGTGGTTTTTGTTTGGGCAAGGTTTTGTAGAGAGTTTTGCCAAACCAGCTTCAGTAGTAACTGACAAATTTTGGTTTTTGAGTTCAGCCATAATACTAATCACTGTGGGTATGAACATGGAACAAAGGAATGAAATTGCCTTAAATGCTTCTAGACATTTTTTGTATGTGTGAAGAGAGAAGCTGTGCAGCTTTTCCTTCTGCAGTGGTCATCAGATGTGAGGTTTGTGGGGATTCTGACATGCCTTTTCTTTTTCTTGCCAAAATGCCAGTAAAGTAGCTGGGAGAACAGTGAGACGATGTGTGGTACAGTGCCTGCAATATGCTGATCGTGTTCAGTTCTCACTCTTCTCCTCCTGCTCACCTACATGGGTGATGACCGTCTTTCCGCTGTCTTGATCTTGCTCAGAGAAGGCAATGGACTTAAGCTAGTTAGTCTATAGTTCTTTTAGTGAAGACATATTGCTGTAACTATAGTGAAGGAATCGTCAAAACCAGTGAAGCATATATAGCAGTTAGTACTGTTTCTTCAAGCAAAGTCCATGTGCACATATATCACTGTGAGGATTTTATGAAGGCGTGTAATACCATAGTAATGAAATCCTCTGTCGTGGGACTCTTGAGACACGAGGAGATAATTTCCCTCTACAGCAGTGGACTGATGGAAAGGACTTATCCATTATTACAAAGCATTGTGTAGGAAAGGAAAAGTAATATTTTGGCACAACAAGGTGAGTTAAAGAAAAATAATGTGATTTAATTTTCTCAGGTATCAAGTATCTTTTAACTTTCCTCCCTGTGTTCTTAGGTCATTTGAAATGTAACATAGAATAGTTATATTTTAAATAAACTTCTGCATACAGGACTATTGTGTTCCATTTCTAGAGATAAATTCTATTCGCTTATAAAAATTATAATTTTGAAAAATTCTCATTTTAATTAGAGAAACTTTGCCTAGTAAGCTGATTCACTGCTTATTCATCATCTTAGCACTGAAATAGCTATTCCTGGAAAATCAATGAAAAAGGAGGGGGTTTTAGTATTCTTTTAGAAACAGTGTAACTAGTTAAGGAGTGTTATCAGAGTTGGTTTGGGTTTGCTTACTGCTAGAATTCTATCTTGATTCAATGCCAGGTTTCTACTGACTACCAATGTTTGTTAGAAAGTCTTCCCTGGAAAGTTTAAAATCTTATATAAATATTGCTGAAAAAAACACGTGTAACAAAAGAAATTAAGCTTCTGAGGGTATTTAAAATGTTTATGGTTTCAAAATATAGGTGATTTTCCAACTTAAGCTATAATTGACAGAGGTATTACAACGTGCTGAATTGCTTAACTTCTCTTCCAGTCAGTGCTGAATTCAAGAATACTGCTGGCTGAGACAGTATGCTTTGTAAACTTAGTTATTTTCATAATGAATTATTCTTAAATGTTGGCAGTATAGTTCACATGCCTTTTATCATTAGAATGTTATTTTCTAAGGCTCCCGAGTTCATTGATGATATTTTTGGTACAACTATTTATTGAATCCTAAAATTTACCCAAGGAACTGCATGGTGCTAAATATCGGAGAGATTTTACAGGAAGGAAAAAGAAAAAAGGCAACAGATGACGGAGGTTTTACATCAAAGTCAGTGACATGTACAGTGTAAAAAAAAATGGGTGAGTTTTTCAAAACCATCTAAAGAAAGCTTTCTCAAAATGGTACTCTGCTTCACACAACACCAAAAAAGTGAGAAAAGTAGCTAGAAAATCCATACCCACAATCTGAACATTGTGTGCCAGTTATTTGGCAAAGCTTTGAAGTTTGACAGAGGGTAGTGTGTGAGGGAGAGCTCTGGAAAATATTGTTCCACAGCATTCACAGCGCAATTGTTAAGCCTTGCCTGCTACATATTTCCAGTTTAGTGTCACATAAGCTTTCTATTCCTGTCATGTACCCTTCCAAAACAGTCACAGTGATAAATAAATAAGTACCCATGTGATGATTAAGCTTGCAGTTTATCGAGTCTTGTTTCTCCCTGTTCCTTGTCATTGACAGAATGCTCACCCAGTCACTTCAAGTGCCGTTCTGGGAGGTGTGTCCTGGCTTCCAGAAGATGTGACGGTCAAGCTGACTGTGAGGATGATAGTGATGAGGACAGCTGTGGTAAATAAATTTGATGAGTTGGGTCTTTTGAATGGAGAGTAGTTGAAGCATTAGAAAATTAGTTTTGTCTTTCATTCAGTTATTTGAACCATAGCATGACAGTTCAGAGGATAAGCCCGTTTTTCTGTAAGAAAAATATGTCTGAAAGTGTTTTGTTTTGTTTTGTTTTGTTTTAAGACTGGTGGCAGTAAAAATACTTTAGCAAGCATCCTTCCTGATTAACGTCAACATAATTTATGATATTTGATCATTTAGATTCTGCTAATGGTATTCCAGGATGTTTGAGTATTCCTGTAATAATCAAGATAAAAAGTGCTGCAGATTTAATTCCTTTGATATTGCTGGAGGTTTGACTGAGCTAAAACGTGACTTTCTGGCAGTTTAAAACTTGAATTCATAATATGAATTCATAAATAGTTTTACATTTATACATGGTAATAATCTCATTATGATGTATTGACAACAGGTCTGTGTTGCTGAAGTGGATTCTGTACTGCAAGGGTCAAGGATTCTGTGTTTTTTCAGATTGGTCAATGTCAAACTGTAGGTGCAAGGATAAAGTGATGACCACAAAGTTTGTTCTCCAGTATATTTCTGAGTTTATTTAGGATAGAGACGCTCTTGACTTTTAATTTAAGGGGATGCATTGAGTGTGAGAATAACCAGCAAATCTCTTGGTCACTATTTGTCCTTGTACATGCTGGCAGGAGAATTCTGAGAAGGAGAAGGTGGTTTATACTATTTCTTTGTGTGACTAAGGTGTAGCCTCCATGGAGTTCTGCATGCTGGCCTGACATCCCTAGGGGCAAAGAGAATAATTATAAATCAAAAAGGATTTAATGAAGAAGTGTGAATATGAGTAAAGGATTTTAAAAGATTCCAACAGAGTATGGCTAAGGTGCACGACCTGGTTTTTTAACAGAGAGCAGATTAAGATGGAAGTGCAGTTTATGTGAGCAACAAAACTGTGGCATTAAAGGACTTTCTAGTCAGCTGCACAAAAATAAAGTAAGATCCAACGCCTGAAAGCTGAAGCTAGGCTAAAATTCAAGCTTGTCAGCTCTATAAAATGCTTCTTTTTTAAGATTGTTTTTTTTAATGATCGATTAACCAAGATGTTATTTATTGCTAAGGTGTGATGTATTCTCGATCTCTGGGAGTTTTTAAATCGCGCTTGTGTTCTCTCTTTTCTTTCTGCCCCATTCCTCCCCCTTTGCAAAAAGAAAGCAAACATAAGAAAAAGACACACTCCCTGAACCAGGATTTAATACTAGGTCATTCTCTTGTTTGGGTTATAAAGGAAAGGCAGAGCTGATGATCACAGTGACTCTTTCCAGAGTCTGTCATTTCTTTACCTTTAAATCAGTTGTCTCAGTTGTCCTTCCTACCTAACATTCTTTGTTGCCACCTATTCTTAACTCCTTAGAATATTAATTGCTAAGCGTCTTTTAGGATAATTTTATTCTGCTACACATTAGCATATGAAATACTGCTCTAATCTATAACATTAATTTCTGGAGTGGATCTCTCTCTCTCTAGTCTAGACAGAATGTCACTAGCAATCAGCAGAATTCTTATCAGTTTCTATAAATATGGAAGACTGTATCTGCTAGGAAATTACTGCTGTCAGAGTGACATTACATTGACCAGGGGTAATGCTGTTACTGGAAAACAGAAAGTCCTTGTAGAGCTCCAGAAGTAACTGTCTCTGCTCATTCATATTCCATGTGTGCACGACAAAACCAACACTTAATGATCTTTCCATGTGTAAATGGCTAGCTCACATTTTATTAGATTTATCCTTTGAAAATGGTTTTATACTATTAAGTAACAGTCAGCATTTCAAATATAAGGTTTTTAATTTAAGTGCCTTAAATGGCAGGTGCGGAACAACTTCACAGAGCAGGGAGGTGGAGACTGGAAAAGACTAGCTAGAGCTTTTGGGTACTCAAGCTGCTCTGGCCAAAGATGTAAGGTTGAACAGTCCAAAGGGACTAAGGTATATTCTGCCCACGCAGTATTCAGCACCCACTGTCTCCTACTGTTTGGAGTCCCTGTCGTACTTTCACATGATCTTCGTGAGAGGAACTCTCACCCATGCAATTGCAGTGAAATCCTAAGACTTTAGTGCCATTTATACTAGGATTTGGGGAGAAAATTTGACCCAGATTTCTAGATGTGAGACTTCTGAGTGCATTTCAGTCAAGTGTGAGGAAGGAAATTTCTGAAAATTATTATCGTGATAGACGTCAAGATACTTTGTGGTATTAAATATGCATGATTGTAATTGATCATATTAATTTACTGGCTGCTGAACAATGCCTCTGACAGAGAGCAGAAGAGGGTCCTAGAAGAGTACGAAAGAAACTGAAGACTTAACATTCAAAACCAGTATTGTCCTTCACTACTTTGTGCAATCTGAGTTCTGACTGTAGTGTTTTAGTTGAGAGAAATGTGTGATGGTCTTAATGTTAATGACTTAATAATAATTGCATGGGAAATATATGTGTGAATAACTACTGGTAATTTGCTTCATATTTTGAAGAAGAATGAAGGTGAGATCATCTCTGGATCCCTATCTCTTGCGAAAATATGTGCTTGAGATGAGGCTAATGGAAATACAGATAAGATTTCCTGCATCCGTTTGCACTTCCATTTCATTGTTATTGAATTAAAAATGTATGTCACAAAAATATTCAGAGAAGAAATATAAATACACCAAATGGTAGATGACTTCTACCAACAAAACAGTATATTTGAACACTGAATTCGGTAAGTAGTGAATTTTTCCTAGGGAATTGTCTCTATATTTGTCTATGTTGGTACTCAAAGATAAATTTTGAAGAATCATCGAACATTTCACAGTGTAACAATATAATGTGTGATAAAGGGGAAAAGCAAACATGCATTTAATTAATTGTAAACACTCTGCTAAAAAATTGGAAGGGTCATAAATTATATATTTTTAAACTTTTTTATTTTGTTTTCATATCAAGTTCCTAACATGGCTGACATTCTTTATTCTTTATTAGACTAAAAGTTTTGTTTGGTTTCAATTAATTTTTCATTAAGAGTTTTCACAAATATTGTCAAGAAGGAGACCTGGAAAATGATGATACCCAAGAAAGTTCTTTGATCATGTGGAATTAGTTTCACAGGTTCAAGGCTATTTATTTCTCTGTGCTTTAACATTTATTTACATGGCTTTTTCAATCTAAGCAAAATCAAGCACTCCACACATCTAGTTACAGTTAAAATGTAAGTAGATTTTTCCAGTAATCATATAAGCTAGCAGTGATTTTCTGGTTCATGTTTGTAAAATACCTACTTCTGAAATAACACTTCTTGGAAATAACACTAACTGCTTGGTCACTTGCTGTTGATGTGCTGCTGTAGTTCCAGGTCCAGGCAAACAGAGGTGCTGCTCCAAATGCAGTTCGTGAGCTTATACCTTAACTATTTGCATGTGGGGACATCAAGGCTGTCACCTGAATTTGAGCTTGGATTAAAATGAAAACTAATATTATCATCTATAGAACAGGCCGAACAAGGAAATCAAACCATCTGTTTTAGTCAGGAGAACACATTGTTTTTATCGCTTCCAATAAAACCGGAATGTCAGATGTGTAGGACATTAATATGTCGAAGTACTTAAACTGGTATTGCAGTGAAGTGTGTTATTAGTTGATGGAAATAAATGGTGAAATAAAACAAGAGAAAACACTTTTCTAAAATGTGCCTTGGGCCATTCTTAATTTCCTCTAGCTGACTAACAGGAATTCTACTGTCAAAGCACTTTGACGCAGTTTTATAAGTATTCCTCTTGAAACCAGAGCCTCTGTTTAGCAGGACTTTGAAGAGACAATAATGCAGTGTGTTCCCTGCGTAATGATGAACCCTCTTGAAGTTTCATATAGCCATTGAGACTTTCTAATCTTTTCAAACTGGTTTGGTCTCAGATTATGGAACCAGGAAGACTGTTTGTGGTCAATACTTAGAGCATCTGTCTACCTTTCATTGTGATCTGCATTAGATTCTGTATCAGCACTGCCAGCAAAAATTACATATTTCTCATTCTTATTTAAAAAGCATTGAAGTATTATGAAGTGGTATATATTTTATATCCATTTGTCAAGTGTGCACTGTGACAATCTAACTTCCATTTCTTCATTAGTAACTTTATATTGCTAGTGAAAATATTCTGAGTGTTTCAGGATTATTAAGGAAGAAGAAAACAGTTGATTTGATATTGCACGCAAGTGTTCCAAAACTGTGCTTCTCTGCCTCCAGGTTGTAGAGAAAGGGGTCTTTGGGAGTGTCCTTTGAAGAAGCTGTGCATCAAACACACTATGATCTGTGATGGTTTCCCAGACTGCCCTGACATGATGGATGAAAAGAACTGCTGTAAGTGCTTATGCAGTTTCTTAGACCTGTAAAGGGCTGATCACATTTTTAGGATTTTGGGGTGCAAAAGAAATGAAAGTAAAAAGGGTTTTTACAGTCAGAGAGGCTTAGTCATTCCCTCAGTTTCTTTTTCAGTTTTGCTATGGCACCAGTTTATCCCTTTCCTCATCTTGTGTCCTCAGTTGTTCACGTCCATGGATCCTTGCTGTTTCCTTGGTCACTCAGGTCCTCTCTCTTTTTCCCACTATCCTGCTCCTCCTTCTTGTGTTTTCATGCTTCTTTTTTTTCCTTTCTTGTAGCTTCTTGACTTCTTTTCCCAACTTTTTTCAACTTCATTCCATATAGGTATAGCTGCTGCTCACTGCTCTTTTTTTTTTTTCCCCACTTGATTTTCCTTCTAATCTATTCTTCAGTAAATCTCCCTGCTTTATTGGATTTCTCTTCTGCTTGACATTTCTTAGATTCTGTCTGCCCAGTTGGCTCCGCGGGCTTCTGCAATGCAAACTGTGATAAGTATCAGAGATCCAAAACTTAGTATGGTACACTGACGGTATGGGCATACTCTCCATGCGGACAGTATAAGTTGACCCAAAGTGCAGACGGTGTGTGGTGGGACCGCTGGCTCCCTGAGGGGAGCTGCCCTATGTTCTGTTTCCACTGTGTAGCTGACTAATGGGATGGGAAGAGGTGGAAGACCTGCAAATGGCAGCAGCTTTGCAGGCTCCTACCCTGCATGCGAAGCTGCGAGTGGGTGCCATGAGATGTTAGCTTCACTTTCATGAATATATTAGTGGTACTCTGAATTCTCTTCTTTTGAGAAGACCTGGTGTGTGGCCATGTCCACAAGACAAGGAACTGGAAAAGACATACTGGGTGGCACTCAGCCTGCACAAGAAAGAACTGATACTTGGTAAATTTGATTGAAAGCTGAACTTATAGTTCTTTGGGCCATCATGGTATTTCAGCATTTTTGCTGGGACTGTAGGATGTAATTTTACAATTTTCCTGAGTCTCTGGAGTTCTGCTGGCAGGGGTAGAATGGTAGGCACATTTTGTGTGCTATGCGGTACATATGGATATATTTGCCAAAATGACTGGCAGCCTGCATATATCACTAGATCTAACTTTGTTTCTTTTTGGGAAGAGGCAGCTCACAAAAAATGTCTTAATCTGCTTTTCATTGTGAATATTACACCATTGACTTCCAAGCGGTCTGTGTGCTGTAATCTAAAAAACAGGGAGGTGGTATTAAAGTGATTTGTTCATGATCACACATTAAGATCATGGCAGAGAAAGGATTCTCCAAGGGCTTAGGTTAAGCTAGCCTATGATTGTCAGACTGTATTTCCTCTCTGATTTTGTGTTGGGGTTTGCATATTCCAAAATGGCAGCAAATTTTCCCTAGCTGAGGGCTTCCAGCTTTTGAAATATACTCTCTCTGGAAGGCAGAGTTAAAGAACTTTTTCTACTTTTGCATGCTTTAATCCAGAGCCAGAAAGATCATTTATGTCAGAGTAGACGGCACTGCCTGCTCTATCTCTATGGTTTTCACTGTGGAGTATATGTTTTGCACTCGTGTTGCAAATAATTGCATGGTTTGTATGGCTGTGCAACAGCCAGACATAGGCACGACTGAATGCAGCTTCCTTCCATACATTTTCTCCCTCTCCACCCTTTCCCAGCTCTCAAAATTCCCTAACAAGGGGTTTATAGAAGCTGGAAGAGAAGTGTATTAGTGAGGAGGGTACTGTAATGCTACACACCTACCTTTTGGGAAGGGGTTTGTTATGCTTGGAGAAAAGCTAAAAGTCACTTGCAAATGGAAGCTCTTGTGGTTCCTGCACTGGACAGAGATTCAGGAAATAACTATCTAATGGTGCCAGCTGGCAACCAACTGAACTGGAGCATATCTATCTGTACATCAGTTCCTCATCTCTAAAGTGGAAATAAAATAATTCCTTGATTTTTAAATGGCAAAGGAGGATCCAAAAAGTGAGTATAGAATTGCTGTGAATGAAAGGAAATATGTATGCATTACAGTAAAGTATTATTTTCAAAGAACGTGAAGCAATAAACAGATTTGGAACAGTCTTCTAAAAAGCATGGAACGCAGTATTTTCACTTAAAGCTTGTGAGAGGTTTAGACAGGTTTCATATGACAAGACTACAAATGATACTAAGTAATCACAGATCTTGCCATTTCCAGGCACCCTTCCTTCCCTTCCGGTTGCAATGGCCTCTGCAACTGCATGGCAGCAACCACCTTCTGCCTCAGTGATGCCTGTCCTGAACTTCTTGCAAATCTGTCTCACTTTCTTGCTCCATAAATCTGATCTGTGCCTACCTCCACCCTCCTTCTCATCATTTTTTTTTAGTCTCAATGTGAATTTCACGTTGATCATGTCTTTCTCTGAGTGAAACATGGTTTTGTCCGTGCAGCATTTTGTGAAGAGAGTGAACTTGAATGTGCCAACCATGAATGTGTGCCCCGTGAGCTCTGGTGTGATGGGCAAGCAGACTGCAGTGACAGCTCAGATGAATGGGACTGTGGTAAGTTTCTGCTGTGGTGCACTCTGCCTCGAAGTGATGACAGTAATCACTGGTGATGACTGGTGATTTGATTTAGAATACAATTGCAGTGGTGGAGAGATGCTCCCTTTATTACCAAAGGGGGACTGGTTTGAGGTTGGGAAAGCATGCAAGAAAGTGGGCAAAAGAGAAAGGAAGAGCTCAGTGTGAAATTTCAGAGTGCAAAGGTAAGAGAGACATGACAGGGAACTTCTAAAATGTGTAGATGGTGTGTAAAATCTGTAGTGTGTTGTAGATAGAAGAGAGAATAGGAAGATGTTCAAGTATAGAATTAATTTGGGCAAAACTTCTAAAACT